CGCAAAATATATAATATAAGACATAAATTCATTAAATGTTTTAAGTGCTTCTGTATATATAATTCTGCGTGAATTTAAATGCTTGTATATAGTATCTATCTTTAAACTACGCGTCGAAATTATTTTTTTCCTTGAAATACACATTCCACTGAACTATTGCAGTAATATTAATGAGTGACTGGAATTATACTGGATTATACTGGTTTTTTATGTATTCTTGAAATTTTAGGATTAGGAGGAGTCTGGAATTTATCTTCTTTCATTCTAAAAAAAATTAGGGCCTAAAAAAAGAAAGAAATAATGAAAAGAAAAGTTGTGTTTAGGTATAATCCTCTCTTATATATCCTCTCTTGATGTAATAAGTTATTAATAAAAAATATTGATTTAATGTCTAAAATAGAACATAGTAGAAAAATCATTTGTGTTCATTTGATATTATTTATAAAGCTATGAATAATGTTTCAATTTTGTTAGTATATTAATTCATTTGCATAGAATCCTAACTTGAATACAAAAGCATGTTGCGAATCGATGAAAATTAATTAAATAATGAAAATGTCGATTAAGAAATCTTGAAAGTCAGAATTTTTATCTGGAATGTCTTAGAATTATCTTTGAATTGACTAGCCCGATTTTGCTAGACATTATATCTTAGAACAATTCTTTCAATCTTAATAATGTTGAATGATATATTAAAATCTGTAAATAATTAATTTTTGTTGTGAAAAATATTAATTTTGACAGAAATCAGTCAAACTTGAATCTCTAGTTATTTTTGTTGTTTAACGTATGGACAAAAATATATAATATATAAATTTGGAATAAATCAGGAATAGCGAATTATAATATATAGTCAGAATTTTTTCAAAGTGATTTCATCGATTAACTTAACAATTTTGATTGAAATTATTCTTACTCCAAATGATATCATCAATTATGTCAACATCAGCAAATGTCATATACATATATAGGTTCCAAAAAAGTTGGGACACCTGAATATCTTGGAAAATATAAGTTTTACAGAAAAGTTTCAGACAAAAGTTGTAGGATTAAAAAACATCTATTGATCTTATCAGTTTAATTTTGGCGTCGCCAAAATCAGGTCGAATCACATCGATTTTTTTAAATGGAACATACACCTACTTTTGATTCCAGAATCTAATAACAGGTATCAACAGCTTTTCAAAATACTATTATACAATAAAATTATTAGGTGTTGGAATTAATTCGTAGCGTTTTACAAGTGATGGGAAGTACTTTCATTAATGTATTTTTTAATGCTCATGTGAAATAAATAACATTCTTTCATTAAAAAACGCTACGAATTAATTCCAACACCTAATATTTTTCATAAAGTAGGGGGAGACCGGTTAGTTGGCTATGAGGATAAGTAGAATAATTAAGGTTACATTATTAAAAACAAAACATGCGAGACACGCGAGAAACGTGTTTGAGCACGCAGCGATTGCCGCTAAGTTTGCTGTAACATCTTGTTGCGAACACATCTGTGATAGAATATTATGCCACAATTTTAAAAAATTGTATACCTGAGTAAATATTTTTATTCTTAAAGTTTTTGTTTTACAATCGTATATGATTGTCTATTTGATTTCTACTTAGATAGTGAGTGTAATTCTTATTTAAAAATCTAACAGATTTTTTTTGTTTATGTAAATGTTATGTTTTTGTGTTTTTGTTATCGTATATCATTAATGTTTTTAAAAAATAAACGGATGGGGATAATAGACTAACCACAGCATGGAACTATATGACTCATTTAGTGACGACTCTTATAGCATTTACTTAAAATTTTATTCCTTTAAAGAGATTTTCTTCAGTGGCAAATGTTATAAGTTTAATTCCCTTATATCAATCTCGAAAACTAAACTCATTCGACGTGTTTTTGCACAAAATGAACAAATTTTGCAAAAAGGAGCATGTTTTGCCCTGTGAAGCAAATGTTTGTGTTTAAAATATATTTTTATAAAAGTTTTATTAATATGTAAATTTTATTGATATGTCATTTGATTTTCATTTTTGCACTTAAAAATTCATTTTTACGTCAAAATGAAAATAAGAGGTATCTCCAATGGCCTTGACATTGACAAATGTTGTTCAGAATCATGTCCACTCACTATCTAAGTAGAAATCAAATATCTCAGACAATCATATACGATTGTAAAACAAAAACTTTAAGAATAAAAATATTTGTTGGAAAAAGAAAAGGAAAAACAATGATATCATCATTTTATCAATAAGTACATGTATCGAAGTTTGATGATTATCAATTCAAAGTTCCTTCAACATTAATATTTATTACTCGTCATTTTACAATTTGATATTATCTATATAAAAAAAAAACAAAGGTTATCATATTTTATATTTTTTGCTTATGCAAGAAAATGTTTTTCTGTTCCAGCTAGTTGAATCATCGCTGTTTTTTGTATCTGATAGAAATATATATTATTAGAAAATTAGAATTTGTAACATTATTCTTCTTGCGTAAAATAATATATGCAAGAAAATTCAAATCTCGTGATCAAATATTACTGTAAAATATCTGAATTACTTCCATATTTTATTAGAGAATTAGTTACTTCCATATTTTATTAGAAAATTTTTGCAATATCATTTATCCAGATTCGATTAAGGTTAGGTTATTTTCTTTTTGGCAAGTAATTAAGAAAAAGATACGACGTGACTTTAGCGTTCACCTAGATTCATGTTATTCCAAAAACTCCTTATTATCTAATTGAACGTTACACAGACTGTTTTAATAAATTTGATAAATGACTCAAATATAAATTTTGTCTCTGTTATCTATACTGATTACATATAAAATATATTTAATATCGTAGTATTTGTTAATCATTTATCCATTTTAGCTAATTTTGCTAATTTATCTAAATCATTTTCACTATAACTGCAAGATTATTGTTTTCAGCTGTTACGTTATCTAATCAAAAACCAATATTTAATGTTCTTAAATAATTATTCGAGATCTATATCTTATCGTAATTTACAAACTTTTTTGTTTGGTTACAAAAATTTTTACAAAAATGTACAAAAAACTACATAGATTGAGACAAAATCGTAGATTCTTAGTTTTTTTGTAGATATTTGTTGTATAACGTTGTTTATTTTGTGATATACGAAAAAAGATTACGTAAAAATTTGTAATACGTAAGAAAAGTGTGGAGTGACATCATATGTGTGATTTAATGTTGATATATGTATTAAAAAAGAACGGGAGCCATTGATTTCGAGTAGTTACAATCGCTATGTGAGATTTTTTTCACATTTCCCTACTTCACTGATAATTCTATCCATTCACGTCTAGTATACTAGTAACTAGTCACAAAGTGTCCTACGAACGTAGTGCACGTATTCACGAACGTGCGAAAAAGTTGTCCGTTTTTTCGAAGGATATTACAGGATTTATTACAATAACGCTTCATTCGAGTGCAAAATACGAATCTCCGTGTTCGAATATTTGTAATAATTTATTTTTATTTGTGCATTTATTTTATATTTTTCTCGCTCTATTTTTTTTCCCTCAAAATTCAAATGAAAACCTGCAGATAACGTTCTTTACGGCTGAACTTTTTATATCGTTCGTTTATCTTTTTTTTTCTCTCCAACATCAAATTATGTACATTATATTTTTTTTTTTATTGGATTATTTATTTAATTCACATGAATGCATAATATATCAAACGGAAAAAATGCGAGAGAGAAAGGATGAGAGATAAAGAAGGGGAAGGGAGAGAGGGATAATATATTCGAGATAACTTGTCCAGATAACAAAAAGTGTGTCAAAATCGAGTCATAAGAGTTGTGTTGCTTCTAAAAGTTTGTCATAAGTTTGTTGCTTCTAAAAGACAATTTAATAACATTATCTGCAGGTTTTCATTTGAATTTTGAGGGAAAAAAAATAGAGCGAGAAAAATATAAAATAAATGCACAAATAAAAATAAATTATTATGGACAACGCGATGCTGCAAACGCTTTGAAGCATTTTTTTATCTGGACAGTTTGTAGAATTCTTTCTTCTAATCCATCAAATACTTCAAAGCATTTGTAGTGAGACTTTGACCACAGCCTTAAAGACGTCACAATTTTAGTTTGTGTTGTTTAGTTGTTGATCACTGTGAACTTTTATTTTTCTTAAGCCCATAATTGGCACATAAAAAAAGGAAGAAAGTAAAACGTAAACAGTAAGTGAATTGACCAATCAGCCTAGAGATCATAAGGCCAATAGCGAATCTAATAATGTTACAACTTCCGTACTACTTATAATTTTGTATATGCCTTTAGCTGCACTTTCTACGCATGTGTTCTTACTTTTCTCCAGAGCCGGGATTAGGCATTTCGGCGCCCGAGGCAAAAGAAGAAAAGAGTTGCGCTTTGTCAGTAACAAAATATCTCTTTTATGGTATATAAAATACAATAAAGAACAATATTATTAATTAGTTTAATATTAATTTAATATAAATATTAATTTAATAAGACCATAATCACATGTATCAGATATACGAATTATGTCTACATGTTATATGTTACGAATGAAATATATAATTACTACAGTTACAATAAAATCAGAATGTATATGTATACTATATAGTTATGTATATTTATAAATAATTAATATTAATTTTCTAAAAATTATAGAAAATTTATTTTTTATTTAAAGTAATATTTTCTGTATTTTGATAGTTGCAAATTATTTTATTAAAATTTATATCCTTACATATATTATATTTTTATTTAAATACATAATGAGCGCTCAATGATAAATAAATATAGTTACTACGAGTAAAATTAAAATATGTCGAAATTTATATTGCCATTTTTGCGCATCTTCAAATTTTTTACATGAATCAAAGTGCCTCGTTCGCCACATCCCATCTTTGCTTTCGCTTTCTACGTTACCTAATCACGCTCTATGTAATTAAGGACCATCACACGTAAAAAAGTTTTAGTCATAACCGTAAGCTTGATCAGTTCATCAAGTATAATCAAAATTATATAATCTTAGATTTTGTTTAGAACGCTTATCATTAATAAATTCAGAAAGCATTTATACAAGTGACATAAGTGTTTTTTAAGTGATTTGCAAGGGGCATTGATATTTATGACTTTATGAGTTAAGATTATCATTTTTTTACATAATGGTCTTTATAGTCCACAGTTCACATGAGAGTGCGGCTAAAAAAACAATTATTCGTCAGAGAAGGGGATGTCGAGTATTTAAGGTTCACATGCTGCTAGTTGTTAGTACTACGTAACATTGATTATCATTTAACATGTTGTCTACTAAGTTTTATATGTTTTATCGTGTCATATCGTAATATAATTAAATAAGATTGCATCTTCATAGATGAGTGTATCAATAACGCATTGTTTATTTTACATCGTTATCTACTTGTTTATGCCATTGAAATTTTTATTAGGTGATGTTTCAAAAATTCTAAAATTCAGTGATGGCTAGTCATGGATGATAGTCACTGTGTTGACTGATAAATTACGCATTGATGTCGATTAAATTAGTGATCATCATGAAAAAATTGCTGAATAATCGTGTGCTATCATTCTTCATGTCAAATGGTAAAAATCATTATCACTTATCTATCACACATTACAAAAATTCTAGTTTCACGAGAGGAAAACGCACGATGTCTACTGCTAATAACTTGATAAAGGATTTGCCAAGTGGACCATTAGATGTTTATAGGAAACGAGCGACATTCGACTGGAAGTCGTTTAAATTATCTTTAGAGGGAGAAGATTCCGTACGAATGCAGGTATTTATCGAAATCAGTGGACTGCATTACATCTAAACTTATATTAATATATATATTGGCTGCGTTCAACAAAGAAAGCTTTGCAACTGTTGTCAAATTCTTTAATACGACTGGTTCTTGCTTTCTAGTTCCTTTTAGAAACGTATAAATCAATCATATTGAAGAATTTTACAACAGTTGCAAAGCTGCTTTCTCTGCCGAACACAGCCATTGACATAAATGTGTATTAAATCACCAATTAAATGTCTAGTTAAAATTATGGCAACTCATCAAAACCCATCCAGTGTTTCAAAAGTCGACGTACCCGAAGAGTTTGGATGAAATTCGAAAACGCGTCAATAGCCAGATACAAGTTCTTTGCGAGAATAATATAGATGTAATTATAACAATTTATTTACATTAATAACAATTATATTATGTATATATATATATATGATTCATTAATAAAAAAATTATCAATTATAATAATCAACAGTCATGTGTATTGATAATAAATAAATTTTCATAATTTTGGTGTAAAAATAAAGAAGCTTGAAACAGTATATCAGAACTTTTGTACTTAATAATTTTCTTATTTTTAGCCAATAAGCGACATTAACAGTGTTCTTTATCTTTTTCAATACGATGGATCGATATCGATACGAATAAGTATCACACGAGGTATGGTACCAGGTGCTATATTTGCACTGGGTACTAATCAACATCATCAGCTTCTAGCTGAATTTAGCACTGGAAATGTATGTATGAATATGACAGTTGTGAATCTCATTATTATAAAATATACGATATAATGCTTATTAATATTCTTATTGTTTATAGTATATTGGCTGGTTTGTGCTGACTGAGATTGCTCATGGAACTAATGCAAAAGGTATACAAACTAAAGCAACATATGATGTAGCAACAAAAAGTTTTATCCTTCATACTTCCGACTTTGAAGCTGCAAAATGTTGGGCAGGTAATCTAGGTAAGTTTATTTTAATCAACATAGAATTAATAACTTTAAAGTAATGATTTCAAGCAACACACACAGTTATATTCAAAATACGTTTAATGAACATTATAAATCATGTAATAGCGTATAAATTGAAAAATAAACGTTCAAAATTTGATACATTTTCTAATTATTTAATAAACGTTATAAAAATGTTTATAAAATATTTGTAATATCTATTAAACATTTTTTAAATTTAAAATACCGTTTTTACATAGCATAAATAATATTTCAGCATAAATAACTATTCAATAGCATAAAAACATATATTTAATGATAATAACATCCATTTAACGTTTTCATACAGCGCTTAAAAAATGTTGAAACTTTCTACATTTTCTAATACACTTTAATTTTTAGGAAAATGCGCAACGCATGCTCTCATATTTGCGCAACTAATTACATCGGACGGAGTAAACCGTGGCTTGCACGTTTTTATTGTGCCAATTCGCGATCTGCAAACTCATTTACCTTTTCCCGGTGTTACCGTTGGTGATATGGGTGAAAAGATAGGCCTTAATGGAATAGACAATGGATTCATAATGTTTGACAATTATTCTATACCGCGTAATTGTTTGTTAAATCGCACCGCAGATGTCACCGAAGATGGAAAGTATGTCCTTGCTCTAAAGAATGAACGAAAAAGATATGGTGAGAATTGGCATTAATGTGACAAAACCACATATTGTTATATCTTATAATTGAATACAACGTTGACGTTTTATTTGCGCTGGCACAGGTTCGTCGTTGGGTGCACTGTCAGGAGGCCGTGTCACGATTACTGGAATATGTTACCACTATATGGTCATTGCATTAACTATTGCTATACGTTATTGTGCAGTTAGGAAACAATTTGGTCCTACCGAGGATAATGAATTGCCAGTTATAGAATATCAAACGCAAGTACGTATAATAGCATAGTTTTTACTTTGAGTTGAAACAGAAAAATTGTTACATATGTTCTAGCAATGGCGAATCATTCCTCATTTAGCTGCAACGTACGCAGTAAAAATATTTTCATCAGCATTGAGAAAAGATTTTGATGAACTTCAAATGAACCGTTTGAGTAAGGATGAAGACTCGACCGCCGATCTAGGAATGGAGATACACGCGTTATCTAGTGCAACAAAACCATTATGTTCATGGATTTCTCGTGACATGATTCAGGATTGCAGAGAATCTTGCGGTGGACACGGATACTTAAAAAGTAAGCGCAAACTCTTAATATATATATTACATCTAAATCTTTATAATGAACTCTGGTGAAAAAATTTCGCTGAAATTATTCCTGTATTGAAACATTTCAACGAAATTGTTGAAAATTTGCTGAAAATAAATTTTTCATCCAATATACTAACTCTGAAATTTTATTGAAATTTTTTGAGATTTTGCTGAAATTTTGCTAAAAATTAATTTTTCAATTAAAAATCACTGAAATTAAATTAAAATTTTTCTGAAATGCTAAAATTTTGCTGAAAATAATTCAGCGAAATTTTTCCAGGGAACTGTTATCTTTATTGTTTATCGCTTATAATGAATTATATTATTTTATTATTAGTGTCTCGTTTGGGTGAAATAAGAGCTGACAACGATGCAAACTGTACATATGAGGGTGAAAATAATGTACTTATTCAGCAAGCAAGTAATTGGTTATTAAATCAGTGGGCTAATGTGATTAAAGGACAAGCCGTACCATCTCCACTTAATTCCGCAGATTTTCTTGTAAATGCAGAACAAATACTTAACAACAAATTTAATCAAACTACAGTGGAAGATGTACTGAAACCCAAAAGTATGATAAAAATAATCCTTTCTTGTATTAAAATATATTGCTACAAGTTATTAACTGGATGAATGATTTAGGTTTACTGCAATTATAATATTTCTTTCTTAATTTTAGATTTGCTCCTAATTTTTAAATGGTTGGTTTGTTATTATTTGAAAAAGACATATCAACGTATGAAGGAATTCCAATCAGACGGAATGTCTGATTTTGATGTAAAAAACAATATCCAAACGTTTCTAGCACGAACCTTATCTCTCGTATATGCTGAAGTAAGTAAGACACGTGTGTGTGTGTGTGTGTGTGTGTGTGGGTGTGTGTGTGGGTGTGTGTGTGTGTGATATATATATATATATATATATATATATATAATCATATAATATTTCAATTGGAACAGAAAAAAACACATTATATTTTAAATAATTCGTATATATCGAACTACGGTGTATAAAAATTCTCAATTATTAAAAAATACACGTGCATCTTTTCCAATAAGTATACTTTACGTCATTTGCATAGAAATTTAGTTACATTCTTCCTTCATTACAGCATGCCGTAATGCTATACTTTAACAGATGTTTACAAGATCCGAAATGGAAAACAAACGAAAGAGAAGTATTAACAAAATTGTGTTCCTTATTCGGAGCTATAACATTGGAGAAAAGATTGGGAGATTTGTACAGTGGTGGTTATGCTTCTCCTAATAGTAATATAGATAATTTTTTGCGGGAAGGAATTATAATGTTGTGCAGAGACTTAGTCGATAATGCTGTTGCACTAGTCGACGTATTGGCACCGCCTGACTTTATTCTTAATTCTGCTCTAGGAATGTCCGATGGCGAGGTATGTACTTTCTCTCTCTCTCTCTCTCTCTCTCTCTCTCTCTCTGCTATTACTAAATATTTTATATATTGAATTATTTATATGTATAATAATTATTTATTTTCAATATATGTAAATTAAGAGTACTTTTTTATCTAGGTATATAAACACATAAAAGAATGGATATTTAAAGACAAAGAGAATC